CAAACAAACAAACAAACAAACAAAATAATGACACCCTGTTTCTTTCACTAGTCATAACCCTCAGTAGGAAGCTGCAGCCATTGTAGTGACAGTGGGCTGGGCCAAACATAAAACAGGTGTCTCTAAACATACACAGAGGGAGGGAGGGAAGGAGGGAGAGAGAGTAGGGAAGCATTTCTCCCCCTAAATGCATAGAAAAGCTTTTACACAGGAAGTGATCAGTCTTCAGAAGTGAGGCTCTCCCTGGTGGGATAAGACAAGGTGAGTAATGTCTAAAGGCTTCTCTCTCTTTCTTTCTTTCTTTTTCAGTCTCTCTGTCTCTCTCGCACACATACTTTCATTCTCTCACAGGCCTACATTACCCTGTTTAGACACTGAAATCCCACCTTCTAGCAAGATGCAAGGCAGAAGAGCATGGATAGGGATGTGAACGCTCCAAAACCCCATCTCTGTTTCTTATCATGTATCATGCACGTGACTGATATGGAGAGAGCTACTTCTGCTCCAGGTCGTCCTTGGTGTGATACATGTTCCTGATCTTCAAGGAGTCTGTAGTCCTTGGCAGACATTCAAAAGGTTGTGGGGAGGGGGTGCACATGTAAGCCCTTCTGTGGGGGTCCCATTCCCAAGGTTGCTAAGCTGCATGGGTGTTCTAGTGAGGGAAAACTCTCCTAGCATCCTGTGGCTGCTTCTGAGGGGAGGAGCTGCCACCATTCCTCCTCTTTCTCATTATCATAGAGAGGGTGCCATAGAGGCCTTCCCTTAGGCCAATCAGAGGGCTTAATTAATTGCCTTTCTCCAGACCAACCCTAATAACATGATGTAACCATTGTCCTATCTGAACTCTGTTTACTATCTGTAATGCTGTCACTACCTGTGACCTTGTAATGTTAATAAAAGGACAGTCTCCTGGGGGCAGGGCAGACCAAGACGGACAGAAAGAGACACCGAGAGAGACAGAGACGGACACATAGAGAGTCAGAAGACTTCTCATTCTGCTTCCTTGCTGAGTCGCCCACCAGGAGTACTGCTGGCAGACATCCATCTGTGTGTGTGGCTGACGTCTTTAATCTATTGCTAAGAGACTCTTTGCTATCCTATTATCCATTATCTGGTGATCACCACAAAGCCCATCAGCCTGCTCATTGCCTGAACCCAACCCCCTTCCCTTCATATCCTCACCCCTGTCAAAAGTCCTGCAGATTTTCACAGGTTCAGCAGAAAGATTTGCATAAGTGCTTGAAGCATATACAGTGGTGCCTCGCATAGCGATGTTAATTCGTTCAAAAAAAAATCGCTATGTGAAACTCCTGCAGATCTTCACAGGCTCAGCAGAAAGATTTGCATAAGTGCTTGAAGCATATACCTTCGAACACTCTTAATTGTGTTTCTGTGGTTGTCACCCCTCCTTATCAGGGCTTTTGATCATGGGAATATTGTTTGTACATTCAGTTGAACATGTTTACAGTTCCTGTGCCACTTCATTCTGAAGCTGCAAAGGTCTGAAGGACGTTTCAGGAAGGCAGGGACATGAAGGCGGGATGGGCCTTCACCTCGACATCACCACCATCCTTTGAGCCCTACATATCCGAATAGAGCTTGTGTCTCTTGGCTTGAGACATCTGTCCTATAGGCAATGAGCATGAAGCACAGCTAGTGTGTGGTCATGCCCATCCTTCCTCCTTGCATGTGGTTAGAAACTAGAATATGAATACCTGAATAGGGCTAACCTTCTGGCACATTCTGTCACACACAGCATGAGACGTGGATCACTCATCATGGACATCTTGGTTTTAATATGGAGGACATGCTGTGAGGCAGAGGTTTGGAGGAACCAGGCTTCACAGCCCTTCAGTGCTTTCCAAGGGCAGGGCTTCAGGAAGGAGTGGGGGTGGGGGATGACTGGCAGTTACATGTGACTCACAGGCATGAGGTTCTCTGTCTCTGATCCAGGCTTGGAAAAGCTGTTTCTGGACCTCAGCTCACAAAATCCCTCAAGCAGCATGGGGGAGGTATTTGAATGGCACTGTATCCACTGCACTACCCTTGCTCTCTGGTGTTTAAGCTTAGGCAAAGTGAATTACCTTCCACCGTTATAAGGGGAAATCAGAGCGGATGGGTTACAACTAGTATGTCTATTACTGTATAAGAAATTGGCCAAACAACTTGATTTCTAACTTCATAATTTAGAAGTTAAATTTGAGGATCGCTGGTGACAACTTTTAAATCTTGGTAGCCAAAACTTTTCTCCAATGTGAGAGTGAAAAGAAGTGGGGGAAATACTAGTGTTATGTTAGAGGGGCAGTCAAGAAATTGCTATGGATCTGAATAATCTAGAATACTGTACTTTTGGTTCCCAGACCTGTCTGCGCAATAACTGGCCAATAATCTATACAGTGGGGTCTTGACTTGAGAACTTAATCCGTATTGGAAGGCGGTTCTCAAGTCAAAAAGTTCTCAAGTCAAATCTGCATTTCCCATAGGAATGCATTGAAAACCGTTTGATCCGTATCTGCTCTTTTCCGTCCATAGAAACTAATGGGAAGCTGCTATCCCGCCTTCGACCACTAGAGGGGGATATTTTGTTTCTTTTTTTTCTTAGGTCAAGAAAGGTTCCACCGTTATAAGGGGAAATCAGAGCGGATGGGTTACAACTAGTATGTCTATTACTGTATAAGAAATTGGCCAAACAACTTTATTTCTAACTTCATAGTTTAGGAGAAGTTAAATTTGAGGATCGCTGGTGACAACTTTTAAATCTTGGTAGCCAAAACTTTTCTCCAATGTGAGAGTGAAAAGAAGTGGGGGAA